CACGATGAGCACCGAGCACAAAAAATGAATATCCACGATGAGCACGAAAAGCACGGATCAACGATGAGCACCGAGCACCAAAGAAAAGCACGGATCCCCAATGAGCACGAATCCACGATGAGCACGTATCCACGATGAGCACGAAAAGCACGGATCAACGATGAGCACCGAGCACCAAAGAAAAGCACGGATCCCCAATGAGCACGTATCCATGATGAGTACCGAGCACCAAAAGCACGGTTCGACAATGAGCACGTGATAATGCACCAAAGAAAAGCACGGATCCACGATGAGCACAAAAAGCACGTATCCACGATGAGCATCAAGCACCAAAAGCACGTATGCACGATGAGCACCGAGCACCAAAAGCACGGATCGACGATGAGCGTGTGATCATGCACCGAAGAAAAGCACGAATCCACGATCAGCACGCGATCATGCACCAAAGCACGGATCCAAGATCAGCCACGGATCCACGATGAGCACCGAGCACCAAAAGCACGTGCACAGATCCACGATCAGCACGTGATCATGCACCAAAGCACGGATCCACGATCAGCACGTGACGAAAAGCACGGATCCACGATGAGCACCGACCACCAAAGATGAGCAGCAAGTTCCCGTCGAGCACCAAAGGAGAGCACAGTCCGAGAGAGAGAGAGAGAGAGAGAGAGAGAGAGAGAGAGAGAGAGAGAGAGAGAGCACGAATGTTGAGCAGGAAAAGCACGGATCCACGATGAGCAGGAAAAGCACGAATCCACAATGAGCAGGAAAAGCACGGATCCACGATGAATACGAAAAGCACACGATGAGGACCACCCGTCGAGCACCAAAGGAAAGCACCAAGTTCCCGTCGATGGAGGGAGGGAGAGAGAGAGAGAGAGAGAGAGAGAGAGAGCAGGATGAGTACCAAGTTCCCGTCGAGCACGAAAAGCACGGATCGACGATGAGCACCAAGTTCCCTTTGAGCACCAAAGGAGAGCACCAAGTTCCCGTCGAGCACCAGAGGAGAGCGCCAAGTTCCCGTTGAGAGAGAGAGAGAGAGAGAGAGAGAGAGAGAGAGAGAGAGAGAGAGAGTGAGCACCGAGAGCACGATGACTAAGTTCCCGTCGAGCACGGAAAGCATGGATCGACGATGAGCACCACCCGTCGAGCACCAAAGGAGAGCACCAAGTTCCCGTCGAGCACGAAACGCACGGATCAACAACGAGCACCACCCGTCGAGCACCGAAGGAGAGCACCAAGTTCCTGTCAAGCAGCAGTCCGCGCGCGCGCGTGCACGAGAGAGAGAGAGAGAGAGAGAGAGAGAGAGAGAGAGAGAGAGAGAGAGAGAGAGAGAGAGAGAGAGAGAGAGAGAGA